ATGGCCGCCTGCACAGCGGCACCGTAAGCCACAGCCTCATCAGGATTGATTGACTTGTTCAGTTCCTTACCGTTGAAGAAATCTTGCAGCAACTTCTGAACTTTGGGGATACGGGTTGAACCACCGACAAGCACGATCTCGTGAATCTGATTCTTATCCATTTTAGCGTCGCGCAAGGAACGCTCAACCGGATCGAGCGTGCTGCGGAACAAATCCGCGTTGAGCTCTTCAAAACGTGCACGCGTGATTGAAGTGTAGAAGTCAATGCCCTCGAAGAGTGAATCGATCTCAATGTTTGCTTGCGCGCTGGAGCTCAACGTGCGCTTCGCCCGTTCACAAGCAGTACGTAGACGACGCACAGCACGTTTGTTATCGCTGATGTCCTTCTTATACTTCCTCTTGAACTCTTGAATGAAATGACTAACCATACGATTGTCGAAATCTTCGCCACCAAGATGTGTGTCACCTGCAGTAGACTTCACTTCGAAGACTCCATCCTCGATGGTAAGAATGGATACATCGAAGGTGCCGCCTCCCAAATCAAAAATAAGCACGTTACGTTCCCCACCAACCTTTTTGTCCAATCCATAGGCTATGGCAGCAGCAGTGGGTTCGTTGATTATGCGCAGAACGTTAAGACCAGCGATAGCACCGGAATCCTTAGTTGCTTGCCTCTGGCTATCGTTGAAGTAGGCCGGGACAGTGATCACAGCGTCCGTGACCTTCTTACCCAGGTATCCCTCAGCAACTTCCTTCATTTTCATTAAGATCATGGAAGATATCTCTTCAGCCGAGAATGTTTTCATCTCACCTTTGTACTCCACTCGAATCTTCGGCTTATCATTCTCGGAGATCACTTCAAACGACCAGTGCTTGCGATCGGCGGTGACTGAGGGGTCACTGAATCGGCGTCCGATGAGACGCTTCGCGTCAAAGACGGTGTTGCTTGGATTCATGGCCACTTGGTTTTTCGCGGCATCACCAATGAGTCGTTCAGTGTCCGTAAAAGCCACATAACTGGGTGTCGTGCGGTTACCTTGGTCATTGGCAATAATCTCAACCTTCCCGTGCTGGAAAACACCGACGCAGGAGTAGGTCGTGCCCAAATCAATCCCAACTGCTGGCATCGTGGACAAAGGAACACCCGGCGACGATAGAGTAGACTGCGGTATGGTAGGTCCCGTTCTGTTCTTTTATAGCTCTCCAAACACAATTTAAAGCATTGATTGGTCGTAACGATAACGATAAGAGACAGACCAATAGGAGTGAAGTTTGTTCAACCAATCAAAAACCAACATTCGAATAACCCGTGATTTACGCGTCGGCCCACAGGCAAGATTCGTCGGTAGATTTTTTGATGCACAATACACTTGATAGAAAAATTCGACTGCACTGTTACTTCCATGATGAACGAGAGCAACATAATACAAACCATATTATTCTTTCCGTTTTGGTTGTAATATGCGAAATCAAAGCAGCCATTGGTTGACAAATATATTAGGGTGTACAGTTTTTTGTGTTAGATGCCAAGTTTGGTAAACAAACTAGTGAATTGGATAAAGTATCGCAAAACGAATATCATGAAATGTTTGACTGTTTGCAGATATATTATTTTTTGGTTTTTATCGAGTAAGATATGTGTATACCTTGCAAGTTATACTTGAACGAAAAGGTTTTTCACAAGGCAAACATGAACACGACTCACACTCAA